GTCCTCTCTCATCAAAACCCTTCCCACTGCTTTGTGTTCTTGGATCGTGAACCTAAGTGAGGTATGACCTAAGGACACAATTTGCGTAAATCTTGTGGACAGAAAAGGGGCCACATGTTAAACCTGAAAAGCTCAGGAGACTGAAAATAACCACAGAGGATGGTGTGAACATAAAAATTCCTAACTAGGGTGGGCCATGGCGGGAAGTCATATCTCTTAAGCTTCCTCATTAAGTTAATCTGTGCCTTTTCAGTGGGCCTGTTCTTTGTAGTTTTGTACCTAAAAGAACATCTTTAATTCTTCCCCTTCCCCCCACCAGAGCTGGAAACTGCAAAATTGCTCATTATCATGCTTGTCTCCTGATTACCATCTCGATGTGCTGTAAAGAGTGAACTGTTAGCTATCCTGCACCCACCTGTGTGGAAGGAGTACCTGTCTCTCCACTGTGCTTTTATCCAACCCCAGAGAGTTCCCCGCTTTGCTTTCTCCCACCCCCTTCATCTATCACCAGTGGATTTCATGTAACCTTCCTCCTTTGATTTTATGTATAAAATAAACTGCGAACTGCCATTTTGCGGAGCTTTTTCTCAATCTGTTGAGATTTTGCTTCCCGGCAATTGTTGACAGTTTGGCTCAAATAAACTCTTATAAGTTTTCTCTTAGGCTGGATATTTTTTGTCAACAATCTCAAGAGCATTGTTTGGGCTGCTGGGCAGATATGCTGCCTCCCCACCAAATGTGAACAGCAGCTCCAAGATATCCATGCCCTAAGCCCTGGGACCTGGGACTGCCACCTACATGGCAAAAGGGACTCTGTAGGTGTGATTAAGGAAAGGGAGTTGACTGAGATGGGGAGATTATCCTGGGTTATCTGGGTGGGCCCAAGGTCATGACAGGGATCCTAAGAGGCAGGCAGTAGGGTCAGGGTCAGAGATGTGAGGATGGAAGAAGAGGTGACAGAGAGACAGTGGAGGGGGACATGAAAGTGCTAAGATGCTGGCTTTGAAGACTGAGGGAGAGCCTGTGAGCCAAGAAATCCAGGTGGCCCCTAGAAAGGAAGCAGATTGCATCTTGAAGCCTCCAGAAGCAGAGCAGCCCTGTAGGAAATGTAAGATCACAAATCCCACTGCGTATGTGGGAATTTGTCACAGCAGATACAAGGAATTCACACGAGCAGGCACTGGGCAGAGCCCCAGCCTCCCTCCCGTGACCCCCAGGGCAGAGCTGGTCACCAGTATCGTCCACCCTCTGGGGCAAAACTCTGTGGTGCCCCCCACCCTGCACTTCCAGCTACAGGAGCAAAAGTCAAACAAGCCCCTGGTTTTGGCTTAAACTAGTTTGAGTTGGGTTTTGTTTCTGCCAACTCAGGCCTGACTGAGGCGTCCTGACCAAACCTGGTGGTAGGCCACTCCCACCTAGGGTGCCAAGCGCCCCTTCCCCTCTGAGGAGGAAGGGGCAGGACTGACACCCAAGTTCTGTTTTCAGATGAAGGGGGCTGAGGACATGGCTGGATGTTCTTTGCTCCCGGGTGGGAAGGCCCCCACCGGCTGTCACTAGTGGTGACAGAAGTGCGGGTAGTGTGGTCCAAAAGTGCAGGTACAGGGCCCAACAGATACTCAAAGGAACGGGTCAGGACAGGGAGGGGACAGTGGTCCTCGGGGTGGGGGTGGGGTCAGCGTGGCACCTGCAGCTGCCAAATCAGGAAAGGCACCAGGAGTAGGGACAGTGCCCAGGGCCACCCGTGGGGACAGGGCTGTGGCCATTGCTGAGGCCCATCGGTGCCCCCCAAGAAGGCCAGGCAGAGAGCGAGTCAGAACTAAAAAATATATTTCATTTCATTCTGAATAAAAAACGCAACAGACAGAACTCCTGGAAATCCTGAAAACAATGTCATCGCTACAGCAAAATTTCACAGAAATCATCACACAGAGTGTGGGGACCGAGCCTGGGCCTGACCCGCTGTGAAGCCTGCCTCTCTGGGGAGGGGCGCGCAGGATGGTGGACTCAGGGGACAGGCTGGGCTAGGTGGCCCGTTTTCAAGGTCCCTCTGCGCGGGAGCCCTTCCGGATGTGTGCGCCCCGCCGTGCACCCCACATGCCCCGCCGGGAGTGGTAGTGGTGGTAGAAGTTCCGCAGGCGCAGCCGCTCCACCTCCAGCCCCGCCTGCAGCACCCTGGATGGAGAGGGAGTCAGGGCTGCCCTGAGCCTGCAGGACCCTGGGGAGGGGTCATCAGGGCTGGGGGCTGGAGGTGCTCAGGGCCCTGGGTGGGTGGGGGAGGTAAGCAGTGCTGCCCTGAGCCTACAGGACCCTGGGGAGAGTGGGATGCAAGTGGTCACGGCCCCAGTCCAGGAGCTAGGGGTGTCAGGGCTTCTGCTACTGTAGAAGCACAGTAGGTGGATGGGGACTCAGGGCCACCACTGAGGCGAGGAACCTGGGTGCAGAAGGGGTTCAAAGGCTGTCCCTGATCCGCGGGACCCTGGGGTGGGATGTGGTTTCGGGGAGTGGGGCCTTCAGGTCCTGGGTGATGGAACAGGAGGACATGGGGGCGTCAGTCTCTGGGCACAGGGGAAGCGGTCACCTGTCCAGCAGCTCCCAGTCCTCCCCGCCCCACTGGTCTCGGAACTCCTCGGTGTTCATGCCTCCGACGCGCTCAAAGTCGGACTTGTAGATCCCAAAGAGGCCAAAGCCGTTCACCTCCCAGTAACCTGGGGGCAAAAGGCACCCCTCAGACTCCCTGGACCTCAGAGAGGTCTGAGGCAGGTCCCGTCATCAGGGGCTCCCAGGGCTCACCCTTCCAAGTTGGTCACAACCAGGAGCCCTG